GGGTAGACCCGCTGCTGTTTGTTAGAGGTGTTCTGCAGGAGAGAGAGAGAGAGAGCCGTGTTTACATTAGCATCAGTTGGGATAAACACTGCTTTGATGACTACTACTGTTAGCTCTCCCTTACTCAGCCTGGCGAAGTGAACAGTGCAGGGGCGCCATCTAGTGTTCATATCTGTGCTATATATATATATATATATATATATATATATATATATATATATATATAATGTATGAAAATCTCAAAAAGCAACAGGTAAATCATTGTTAGAAAGTCAATGTTTTAATTGTGTATTTTTATTTTTTTGCAGTTGCAGAAAACCATTGCTGATGGTGGCCAACCAGCTACCAAAAAGGCAAAAATGTCCAACCAGAACTTTGAGGACGCATTTACAAGTACTACTTGGAAAAATGCATGCAAAAATGGGGGATCCTAAATGAGAAAGTTCTCACCGTAATAACAGACAATGGTAGCAATATGGTGGCAGCATTCAAACATAGTGCTCCAGAAGATGAAGATTCCAGCTCCGATGATCCAGATGCATCCATCCTGAGTGAAAGTAATTCCAAGGAGACAGAAAACCTGCAGTGTCAGGACATGGGCATGGACAGGATGCCATGTGTCGTCCATAGGCTGCAGCTTGTTGTCCACATGATAAACAAGGAGAAAAGCATCAACAGAGTCTTGAACAAAGTCCGATCAATCGTGAAACTTTTTCGCAAGTCATCAGTCGCAACACAGAAGATTTTGGATGGGTGTGGCCTAACTGTTGTGAATGACTGCCCCACACGCTGGTCAAGTACTTATGAAATGGTTGCTCGTCTCCTCAAAGTTAAAGAATCTGTTTGTGAAGCAGCAAATGAGATGGGATGGGACTGCTTGCTCTCAAGTGAGTGGCAGAAGCTGAAGTCAATGCAAGAACTTTTGCAGCCTTTTGCTGAGCACACACAAAATCTTCAGAGTGACACAATGTCTATGTCATTAATACTCCCTGCTCTCTTTGATTAACTCAGCCATCTGGCAGATGTGGAACAAAACACAAGTCGAGATGTTGCTGCTCTAGCATGTAAAATGGAAGGGAATGTGAACCAGCGTTTTGCCTGGGCACTTGATCCCTCAGATGACAAGTTTTCCCCACTTGTAGCAGCTGCTTGCTTTCTCAATCCTACTGTGTGTCAGACCCTCCTCAATGTGGCTGATGATAACATTCAGGAGCTGCTCAAGCAGGCAGAAGGGTATGTTGTTCGGTGCTCTCAGACACAGGAGAACCACTCTGATCTGGAGCAACTGAATGGACCTGAACCGGCACCACCTGCCGCCGCCTCCTCTTCATCATCTGCCTCCTCCTCCTCCAGACAACCAGTCTTTAGGTTTCTCTCCAAATTCGGAGCAAAGCCTAAACCAAAGTCTTCCAAGTGTAGTGTTAGACAGCAGATGAGCCAGTATAAGGAAGAGCTCTCACAGTCCATCACTTGTGAAACGGGAATGGAGTTTTGGCTTGGAAAATGTGACACATTTTATCACAGCCTGAAACCATTAGCATTAGATATATTGGCAATGCCAGCTTCTCAATCTTTTGGAGAAAGAGTGTTCAGTATCACAGGTGACCTCACTAGAGGGAAACGCAACCGAGCAAAGGTCACACTAGCACGAAGTGCTTTTCGCAAAATGAATCGCAGCAAATAAATATTCACACTGTTTTGTTGAGCCTGTGTTGTAACAAGTGAATATCTACAGACTCAGGGTTAACATATTTAAATTTGCTGTTCTTGTAAATTCTTGTTGTGCAATTGCTAAAAAGAGCACCCTTGTAATTGCCAGTGAGCTTTTTGTTTTTTATTAAACACATAAGTGTTAAACATGTGAAGTGTTTTTTTAATTCAAATATTCTATGTTCTTAGCTGTGTGTGTTATATCTGATCAGTGGTGGTTAAGAGTTTGGACGCTGTGTATTAAATTACACTACTTTTTCCGTGCTCTATACAAAAGTAGGAAATTACTTCATTAGAAAAAATATATGCATTTTGTTGACTAAAATTGCTTATTTTCATCGACTAAAATGGGACTAAAACTAAAATAAATCTAATGACTAAAATTGGACTAAGACTAAAATTAATTTTTAGCCAAAAGACTAAGACTAAGATAAATTAAATTGTCCTGTCAAAATTAACACTGATTTACAGCAGTTTGATGTCATAAATTAATGTTGCACAAACTGCTGGGAAATTGAGAAGATTGATGCAGATTTAAGATGGCAGCAATGCACTTTGGTCTCATCTGTGCTCAGACTACCTGCTAGCTCATATGTCTTCTAGAACATACTTGTGATTTTTCAGAGGCTGATCAGGATGTGAGCAAGAGTAATTATTAATATTGGTAACACTTTACAATAAAGATCCCTTTATTAATGTTACTTAGTGCATTATTATGCATTAATAAACAAAAGGTCCCTCTATTAACATTATTTAGTGCATTATCAATAATTAGTAAGCAAAGGGTCCATTTATTAACATTACTTAGTGCATTATTAAGCATTAATAAACAAAGGGTCCCTCTATTAACATTATTTAGTGCATTATCAATAATTAGTAAGCAAAGGGTCCATTTATTAACATCACTTAGCGCATTATTATGCATTAATAAACAAAGGGTCCCTTTTATTAATTGTACTTCTATTGTTACTATTAAGTGCCTTTAAGGTTAGGACAAAAGGCTAGCTGCATGTTTAGTAATGCAGTAATGCCTTACATAAAATGATTAAGCAGTTGTTAATGCTTTATTTAAGAGTTTATTAATGCTTAATAATGCACTAAGCAATGCTGTTACAAATATGTCTGACCTAAATGTGCTCAAAAGGAACCTTAAATTGTCCAACAAACCTTTTAAAATCCCTTGGTTTATATTCAGCATTAATACTCACCATAACCTGTTCTGCATGTTCTTTCTCACACTTGACACGATCCTTATTATTCTAATAAATCCTTTGTATCGACCCAGTCATGAGACAGAATGATGGTGGCCTGTGACTCACACAGACAGCTGCTTGTGAACTTCTAGCTAATTACAGGAGACTACAGAGAAAATTAGTTTGACAAGTCACAGTTTTTTTAGAGGACAAACGTCATGTTTACTACAGGTAAAATGTTAAAATGCATGCACACACGCACACACACACACACACACACACACACACACACACACACACACACACACACACACACACACACACACACACACACACACACACACACACACACACACACACATGCACACTTGTTTATGTGTGTTCAAGGTGAGTAAACCCAGAGGTGGAAGACGGTTTGCTTCCAGATATTTTGGTGATGCTTCATGGTTGGATTGTCCAAACAGCTGCTGGAGGTGAAACATCTTGGGTGAAGTTCTCTCCCCAAACGACAGAAACTCTATTTTAATTCTCCACACAGTATGGAGCACTGACACCTGGGCTGAGCACATGGCTGATATCAGCAGGCTGCTGTAGGGAAACTTGACAACAAGTGACTTTGACTGAAAATCTCAGACTGTCCCAGGAGTTGGACATTCCTCTCTTACACATGACGGCATTGCATAAATCTCATTTTAGTTCATATTGTGCTCAAATGTATGTTTTCTATCTAGTTGTCTCTTTTTAGACCCAAATAAGCCTTTTTTACCATGTAGGTCATCAAGGTTCTCTAATGAACTCCAGCACAACTAAATTATGCACCGAGATCTGCTTCTTATTGCACTTCAGGAACTTTAAAACTCAAAGGATTTCCAAGTAAAACACATTTTAAATTAAATTTGCTCTTGAGATTTGGAGTGACATGAGTGGATCAGTCTCAGACACAAACAGAGTAGGACATATTTCACTTAGTAGATGTGGAAAATACATGGCAACGCAGCAGGAGACAAAAGCAGCTAGCTTTACCAAGGACATTAGAAGTCTAATCTGGGGTTTCACATGTGAACACTTCTCCTCCAGCTGAGTTCTCATGAAAATGATGAACATAAGGAAAACAAATCATGACTGATTCCATGTTTTTCTTCCAAGCACTCAGACTTCAGATATCCCTACTTGTTTACTAGAACTTCTGCTGCTTTTTTACTTATTTTCAGATATATGTTTCCGTTGAGTCACTTGACTCAGTCCTACTAATCTACAACTAAAGTCAAGGTTAGGTCAAAAGGTATCTCTCCAGCCCTTCCTGGATAATCCCAAGGCATTCCAAGTTTAGGGACAATTGATGATTCCACCAGCAAGTTGTTGGTGTGCCTCAAGCTCTCCTGGAAAACCTCCACAGGCAGCCTAACCAGACGGCATCCTAATCAGATGACTAAACCAACCCATCTGACTTTGTTCAATGTGGTTCCAACTGAAGAAGCTGGTTTCAGCCACTCTCATCAGCGATACCTTTGTAAGAATACATTAAACATATCGTATTGTATAAATTATTTCAAGTGTTAGTGTGTAAATACAGCAGTTAACAGCAATTTCCTTACAGTTGTTAGCTTTTCAGTGAGGTTGGAAATGTAACGCTTTTTTACAATAATTACTTTGATATCTTAGTTTTACATCTCAGTGGCAACATGAAAATATTTGTCTGAGGATGTTTTTTAACTTAAGATAACTTCCTTCTCAAGCTTTGGTTCCACATATTGTATCAAGCTAAATTATCACACACAAAAATAAAAATCCAAATGTATTAATGCTTAGGCTCCGCCCTCAGCAAGGGGGGTGTTCACAGGGGAGTCCAAGCTTGCTGTCCGGGTGGCCCTCGCCCTCTCTGGCCCTTCCTAGAACCGCCCCTGTTCACTATGACATATCTGTGATGTTCTGTTTGGGGAAAGTAAGGATGTTTCCATGTACTTTTACACAGTTATTTAAAAGAACATCACTCAGCTGTGACTCATAAGGTAAACTTTGCTATTATTTGATTAGTAGCAGTTATAATACCAATCTCATGGGTTGGGCTGCTATAGGACTAATAAATGATCCAGACAGTTTAGGTTTTAGACTTTTATTCACTTAAATTCTCAAGTGTTAAAGCAAGAACAAAACATTTATCATGTCCTTTGGTGGGATTTTAGTACACTTTATTAATACTGGAGAGTTAAACTAATATTCTTTGATGCCAGCACGTTGCCAATACAAAGGGAAATCAACGGCACAACTTAAAGAACAATTGGTGAAAAATGAATAAATAAAAGATATGGGAAACAAAAGAATATTTATTTGGATGTGTTTAATAGATACATTAAAGGTTGCCTTTTTTCTTTCTCAGTTCGACAGAAATACAAAGGACTACATTACTTTTTTGTTGTTTGTTCTGTTGAGAAAAGAATTAGCAAATACACCAATGGTTGTCTATGCGCTTCTTGTCTGCTCAGGTGAAACCTTTCCTCCGACCAAGGGAGTGACGCGGATCTCAGATGGAGAACAAAAAAGAAAGAGAGAGACAAAGAGAGGGAGAGAACTTGACAAATTTACTGGATTATCTTTTTTGGGGGATGAGACGGAGTTTCGTACACTTGTGCATCACTGACATTGGACAAAAGAATCTTTCAGCCAAGAGGGTTTACAGAGTAACGTTCACGAATGCACGGGTCAGCAGTGGCGATAGAGAGTGGGGTGGGGGCGATGGGGGAGGAGCTAGAGGTGAGGGCCTTACGAGGAGGGAGGATGGAACGAGAGACAGAAAGACCGAAAGGGAATAACATGGACAAAGTTTAGTGTCACAAAGTGGCAGTCCGGACAGATTTCCTTCTATCCACAATGCACTGACAGCAAAGAATGCTTCCTGGGTTTTTCACCTCTTTCTGTTTGTCGTCACATTGAAGCGGAACGCGTAAGTCTCCGAGGACAGTCTTTGCCGCTCAGCGAGGACAGTTTGTTGTTCGGTTGTCTTATTTTTTTTCTTCTTTTCTTCGTCGTCAGTCCAGCAAACATTAACTCGCAGAAGCATCCCGAGGGGATCCGCGGCCACTATCGGCTTGTGCGAGAGCTGATTGGTTGCAGCTACTGTTGCCGTGGCAATAAGAGAGGAAGTGAACAAGTCTGTCATCGTGAGTTATTCCTTCTCAAACTGGAAGGAGCTCATGTACCTTGTATGGCTTAGAGGGGGAAGGGGAACTCACCGTTCTTTGTTTCTTATCAGGCAAGCTCTCACTTACTCATATCTTTAATACTATTTATTTATTTTGGAAGTATATCTTTTTAACATTTTTATATAATTTATTTGAAATTAAATGGAAAGTTTTTGCACACAGTCTGTCTTATTCCCTTTATTGTCAGCACAAGTCCGTAGAGTCTGGCAGCAGAGAAGCTCCGAACATCAGGGTCCAGAAAGCTTGTGGTTGTTCTGTTTTGATGGTTATTTGGAGGAGGCGGGGGAAGGGGAGAGGGCTGAGGTGAAGGCAGTGGGAGGAGTGTCACTCCCACTTAGTAACAGGTCTCTTCAGAGCACGGCGGACCAGCTGGAGGCCTCGGTCAGGAGAGCAGAAGCCAGCAGAAGCAGAGTCAGCAAACTGCAGAGGGGAGGAGGTCTCAGGGGGGCCTGGCCCGAATCTGGGCCTTTGCAGCCCCCCAGCTCGGACTCACAGCGGGGCTTCTCACACAGCAGGCCCGTATAGGCTGAGGGACAGTTGCAGCGGATGTTATTTTCACACACACCGCCATTTTGGCAGCGCAGGAGTTCGTTGTCACACACCCGAGCTGCAGTGGGGAGAATGTTGACAGAAGAGAGAGAGAAGTCAGAATCTGAAACACACATAAATGCGTGCACACACACACACACACACACACACACACACACACACACACACACACACACACACACACACACACACACACACAACACACACACACACACACACACACACACACACACACACATTACAAATTACAAATATAGCTATACACCTTTAGAAAGTTAGAAAGTCATTGTAATCATCTAATTGCTAATGCTAGTTTCAAAACTGAAGGCAAGAGCATTTTCACTTTTCAGCAGTGCTGATGAGTGTTTTCAGTTCATGCTTATTCATATTGCAGGTAGATGAGAGGATGCAGAAGCTACGGACCTTAAATCATGTGTGACTTTTACCAAAGGCCGGCTCACATGCTAAGATCCTTACGCAGATTTTTGACCCAGTTCTGTCTTAACAACAACGTTGAGGATGCATGTTGTTATCGGACAAAATGACTTCATAAACCATCAGTCCTCTAAGTTGGTTCTAAAGAGCAGTCTATAGTCGCCAACATTCCCAGAATTCCCAGCAGCTGATTGTTGTGTTGCTGCAGAAGGCACTATACATACCCATGTGTCACATTATCTACATTGTCTAGAGGAGTTAGAAATAGCTGCCGTCATGTCACCAATGGGTTTGTGTGATCTGAAACTCTAACCTGGACATTTGTTTGACATCAATAAAAAAAAAAAATTGAAGATTTTATTTAGAAGTGTATTTCTGCATAAAAGTCACAAATATTAACTTTTGCACTCATTGCAGACATGTTCCTTGACAGCTTATTTCTGAAGCTTTCACATTTATCAGGATTTGTGAGCTAATAGCTAATCTGAGCTGATTTAGCCCCACGACTAATCCGTGTCTGCCGCTAGATATCTTCTTACTTTTTGAGGGGGCAATGGCGGTGTGGTTGACCAATATAAAACAGTTTTGCATTTGCGAGTGGTTGGACAAAAGTGTTTACTGTTCCTACAGCTATTATTGTGTGCTTGATTGGCATGCAACATTGGAATGTCAAGATTCTTAGCTTTCCAATAATACATAATTTTACATGTTTACATAAACACTGTTGTGGTAGTACTCAGAGTAGAACAGGTAGTTGATCAAATCCTGTGGGCGGAACACAGGATCGTTAGGCATCCTGACCAATCACAAGCTTGCGGTCACCGTCACTTTCGACGGATCTTTAAAAACTTGGTCTCCGTCTGCCTCTGTGAGCCCATCAGAGAGCACTTGCAACGGCGCATAATGGCATTATGACAGAGAAGTATAAATCAGGCTTAGGAAATGAGGTTGGGCCTGGATGAATGTTTGTTAAATAAGCTGTCAAATAATAGCAAATGAGCTCCAGGACTGCTGCACACAGAGGGCTGTCTGCTTTCTCGTCGTCGTCGTCTTCCTCCGCTTATCGGGGTCCGGGTCGCGGGGGCAGCATCCCAACTAGGGAGCTCCAGGCCGTCCTCTCCCCGGCCTTGTCCACCAGCTCCTCCGGCAGGACCCCAAGGCGTTCCCGGACCAGATTGGAGATGTAACCTCTCCAACGTGTCCTGGGTCGACCCGGGGGCCTTCTGCCGGCAGGACATGCCCGAAACACCTCCCCGGGGAGGCGTCCAGGAGGCATCCTGACCAGATGCCCAAACCACCTCAACTGGCTCCTTTCGATCCGGAGGAGCAGCGGTTCTACTCCGAGTCCCTCCCGAATGTCCGAGCTCCTCACCCTATCTCTAAGGCTGAGCCCGGCCACCCTATGGAGGAAACTCATTTCGGCCGCTTGTATCCGCGATCTCGTTCTTTCGGTCATTACCCAAAGCTCATGACCATAGGTGAGGATTGGGACGTAGATCGACCGGTAAATCGAGAGCCTGGCTTTCTGGCTCAGCTCCCTCTTCCCCACGACAGATCGGCTCAGCGTCCGCTTTCTGTAGTTTAAAATGAATTTTACAGAATTATTTTAGATCTAGAACCACAACATTACAAAGACCCCAAAATTCAGTGGTACCCTAAAGCCAAGTCAAGAAGACCACAAAAAGTGTCTTTCTTGATCCTACCTGTGAGAACCACTAAGGTATAATAATGTATTCTTTCTTTTTCAGTTCAGCCTCTAAAACCTTTCCACGGTGACATGACAGTCGGATCGACGGTCTAGCCTCTGACTTTTAAACATGATACATTTGAAGATCTTAAAGTTCCGTTGTCTACGTAAGGCCCATCTTTACCCAAGTGATGTCTGATTAACCCCAACCAAATAATCTCTGCACAGAAACACACTCGATGCTTCCTCCATGCTTGAGAGGCTTTTCCTGAGCAGCACCGACTTGAGACAAACTGAACATTAGGTGGAAATCGGTGTATATTTAGAGCTGGGACACCGAGGCTACTCTATTCCCAGTGGAGGCAAGCTGTCAAGCAAGCTGGAGGCAAACAAAGCTGCGAGGCACAAACTAATAAACCAACAGAGACAAATAAACAGTGATAAACACGGGGCCCACTTCTGCCCATTTCAATCCTTTATGGGTGTGGAAAACAATGTGGTAAGCAATCTCCGAAGTCTATGGGACATAAATATCCCAATACGAAACATAAGAGCTGTCTCCTAATACTCGGGGATTGGATGTATGTCGTCTCTCAGGGGTAGCCAAATAGAGCTTTGATGGGAACCTTTCTCAGAATTACCAAATGTTCTATTCCTGTTTGCATGTCCTGCTGGAGAGGGAGCAGATCTGCTGTGCACCTCACGACAAGGTCTAGTCACCAGGCTTACTCTTTGGTCCATTAATTAGAGATTCCTCAAGCGTTGACAAGATCTATACTCAAAACAGGCACTTGTGGATGACAGTGATCTTTATTTGACTATTATGGATAATCTAAGTGGCGTGTATCACCATGCTCTTTCTGCTGTTGAAATATGGATGCAGGGTTTCATTAATATAAAAGCAGCTAAACACTAGAACACAGGCAACATCAGGAGACAACAGGAAGAGATAAGGAGATGCTTCCAACTGTGGGAAGCACTTTTAAATGGAGGAAATAGAGTAGAAGTGTAAATGAATCAAGTATTTCATGGAGCTATATCATTTTACAGTATGTTTATGTTGATTTGTATGTCTTTTAAAATACTCTACAAACATGTTTAATTGTAGGACACTTTGTATCTAAGATATATATATAAGATTTCAGTTTTAAATCTTTTTTGGTGTAAATTCAAACCTAAGTCCTATTTAAGAGCCATGCTGGGTTTTCTTAGTTTCCACTGAGACACCATTCTCCTTAATGATTTTCTGAAGTATTTGCACTTTTTGTTCAAATGCAAACATTATTACTTGCATGATTTTGCAAAAATAAATAAATAAATAAATAAACATTTTTGGTGTCCCTATGTACACTTTGACTTTTAGTACTGCTTTAAAAAGTACTCAAATATTCTTTGTTTCACGTATATCATAATCAAATTACTTTTTAATGTGAAAACCTATAAATAATTGATTATCTGATTATTCCTCATCAATTGGAGCAATGTAAATGTGGCCACTATTTGCGTACATGCATCCAGCTACCTGAGGGATGGTCATGTTTCTGTGTATAGTTTATTGTGGTCACCTGCAATGTCCAACGCTGGTTCTTGAGGGCCCCTGTCCATCCTGTTAATCCCATATTTGACCAGTGGGTGATTAACAGGCTTAATGAGATTTTGCACTGGTAATTCAGCCATTACATCAGGTGTGTTGCAGCAGGGAAACAACTAAAACATGTTGGGCGGTGGCCCTAAAGGACCAGGATTGGACACCCCTGCTCTATAAAATCTGTGATTTAGTCAAGCTAAGGATCTAATTTCTTTGCATGTTGCTGTGAATGTTGCAGGTTAGCTTAGCTGAAATTAAAGGGAAAACAGTGAGATGATATATATATATATATATATATATATATATATATATATATATATATATATATAAAAATATATATTTGCAGGCATCATTCTATCTTTTGCATTTGATCTGTGCAATTACAAAATAAATAAATAAATAAATAAACCACAGACATTAGTCCTCTATCACTGGCTTAGTGAGCATTCTGCATTTTCAGAGCCACACTGTTACATTTTCATTCCAAGTGATGCTTAAACCTGCACAGCGAGTTCAGCTGAATTCAAAGGTAAGTCCAGGTAATGGCCATCCCTGCAGACAGAGCGCTTCATCTCTTGCCAATTAAGTGTAGTTCAAGTCTAACATGAAACACAGTATTGATTGTTTAAAAACAAACATCAATGACAAGTTGTGTCAGATGTGGAAGTTCTGCAAGATTAAAGGTATTGCAGAAACCACGGAAGCCTTAAAACTTGGTTCTTTTCAGAGCTCTGAGGCTTTATCTGCTCCCGGTCTCCCCACATCAACTCCTTCGCATTACCCAGAGTAAACAGAGCCGGCACAGGCAGTAAATGACAAGATTTGTTGTGTTTGCTTTTGATATGAGTGATAATATTTAGAGAGGGAGCCAATGAACTAGGTGTGCCTGTCTGGGAAAGTGATGTGTTTGACAAGAGATTTAAGTTTTTAATTGCATTTTTCAGTCTGAATGCAAATTGGTGGTGAACACAAACACTGCATCAGGAGCCATGCAAAAAAAAAGAAAAAAAGATCAAGCATAAAAAGTTTTCTAACTTCTTCCGCTGGGGGTTGTTATCGCTTTAAAGTAGTAGATCTGTCTGTGTTTAAATGTTTCACACAGATCAGGAACTGTTTTATAAACAAATGTTATTTCCATATAACTATTCCTGCTACCCTGAAATGTTCTGGAGAGACGACAGAAGAACATTCTTTGAAATTCCAAGTGGATTTCTTGTCTGAAATATCAACATTTCTTCACTCTTCATTAAAAGATCAGGAGCAAGTATAGCTAGCAAAACTAACATAACTAACATAACTAAATAATAGGCCGATGACACTAAGATACCCCATTTGACTCGCTGCAGAA